TTGTGTAATGATTGAAATGCAAAGGCGTGGTAAGTATTATGTTATACAGTTCATATGATTTCATGATGATGATTATGTTATTACTTTCGTATGTTATTTTATGAACTTCACCGAGGTAAGTGGACAGTAAAGGATTTTATTATTAATAAAAGAATTTGTTATAAATTATGCTCCATTGGTCTTTTTGTGTTTTCTACCCACCTTTACCTCCGTGGTGGTGAGATAATGTGATGTCTTTACTGGGCTGGTGTAGCTCATTCCTTATTTAACCATTTCAGATCAGGAAGACATTGTTCCCGAGCCCGTTCCGCAGGAAGACGGCGAAGGGGAGGCCTAAAGATTTCGTAGTTATATTTATAGCTTTTATTTTCGAGTTTCTCTCTTAATTAGTTTGAAATTTCATATTTTGAGTACGTTTTGGTTATTGTGTAAGGGATGTTAGTCAAAATTTTTATCACGCTTCTGTATTTGATATTTTTAATATATATATTTCATTTTAAATTTCCGGGGCCGTTACAAAGAGTTTGAACAAAGAAAGATTATATTAAGAATAAGATGAAATATCACTGATCAGGATTACAAAATATTTAAATAAATAACATAAAATAAAATATCTCTTATTTTTTAAACCAAAACCCTTACTCATACTGGATGCTAAAACCCTAAATCGAACATATCCTAAAGACCAATCATGAGGCATTTACTATGTAGAACAAATTAAAATGATGTTTTATATAAATAACAAAAGTTCACTTAGAAGAATCCTTGGCCAAATCCTTGATTCCCTGTAGGCATCATGTTTGGATTATTGAATGGAACAACACTAGTATTGAATCCAATGGGTCTTGTCTCAAATGGAAGACCTACTCCACTAGAAGAACTTCCCAGAAAAAAAGGATGATGAGGATGATGATGATGAGGACAAGGAAGAGGAAGATGAGGATGATTATTTGAGGAATGAATCACAATCTTCTCAACATGCTTAGCCACATTCTTCTTGAGCTCATCAAAAGAGGCCTTCACTTGTTGAAGTTGTGCCAAGCTCATATCCTCCTTGGGAGCCATCCACCAACATTGGTTCTCATTTACCCTTTTCATCTGGTTGAGCTCCTCACTTCGATTCTTCTCGATTTCAAGTTGGTTAAGAACCTGTATATATAGTAGAATTAATATATATATTTTTATAATGAATACATTATATTAGAAATGAAAGAAATCAAAATAACCTGAGTGAGCTGCATGTTAAGCTCACGAACACTAGCATTCCGATGAGCCTCAATGAATTTCATAGTTCCAGAAGTGACTTGTGGTGGATTACCATTAATGAAACGTTCCACCATAGTCTCGACAGAAGGATGACCAAAAGAGAAGACCTTTCGACCGGGTGAGAAGACAATAATAGCAATATTAACCCCACATAAAGTGCATAATTCACTCGCTTTCTTAAAAAGTCCGGCTCGACGTTTGGAGAAAGTGACGTGGAGATTGCTTTCATTGTTCATCTTCACCATCTCAACCTTTTGTCGTCCCCTACTTTTTTTCACCATGGTTACAAGGATTGAATATGTGTAGAGAGAAATTAAAAAAGAGATTTGGAGAGAAATAATTTGTATAGAAAGAGGGGGAAAATGCGTGATATTTATAGGAGACTCAAATCAAGATTGTGAATTAACACTTTGGGTAGATATCCTGTGTAGATTTCTTGTTTTTAATGACTTACTTTTTTAGAGTCGATTGAGAATCTCCTCCATAT